GACCGGGGACCGGCAACGGGATCGCAACCCTCGGCATTGCTCCCGCGCCTCGCTCAGCCAGTGAGCGGGAACCGGTCCGTATGTGGGATCCGAACCCTCGGGCGGGAGCGCCGCCGCGCTTCCCAAGCGGTGCGCTATCCAGTGCGCCACCGGGCCGGCCCTTTAAATGAATTTTGAAAACACAATTTCACACAAGTATTTTGCTCGATCTTAGAAGCTTTAAAGCCACCACCTCAATTCTTTACCCAACCTTTGGTTATGTTCCTGAAGATGTTACTCACTTTTAAGTATAGTCTCCTTTATTTTAATTCTAAACTCTAGATTTGGTACATGATTGTGGTAAGTTTTATTTGAAAAGGAAAAGTAAAGCTTTGAGGAGTGCCTGGGAAAGGCTCTTCTGGGCTGCGAGTTGCCTGAGGGAGCAGCCCTTATGCTGCCCTCAAGGGGGTCAGAGCACAGCATAGCATAGTCCTGGGGATTTGGGTTGGGAGATACCCCTGCGACTCACACTAGCCCTTGGCCAAACCCTCACTCCTCTTTGTGCCTTCTTTTTTTATAGTGTTTCTAGTGTCTCAATTTGAATTTTAAAAAGCTTTTCTTCTCTGGGCCGGCCCGGTGGCGCACTGGATAGCGCACTGCTTGGGAAGCGCGGCGGCGCTCCCGCCCGAGGGTTCGGATCCCACATACATAAATAAATAAAAAGCTTTTCTTCTCTACTCTGTTCCAGCTTTTCATGGGCCCTATTTGACAAGTAAGTTCCTTTCTGGAGATGTCAACCATTTCTCACCAAAAACAATTGTGTTGGAAATGTCATCAAAAATTATTTTCAGTCACCTCCTCATGATCTCTGTGGCATGTTTTGATAAATAATGGTGCTAAGACAGTATTTGGGTCAGTAATCTAACACTTCCAATTGTTTCAGTCTTCAAAGTGCACTTTACTTTTAATGGATGTTTTTAGAAGCTCTAAGAAATTCTCAAGGAAATAAAAAATTATTATGTAAGTATTTTATTGACTTGTTTGCTAATAAATTTTCACAGTTAAAACCAGTAACCTCTCAGACGTAGTTCTTTTAAGGGCTTGACTTTTTTTGTTTTTTTGCCATTTTATACTAATTTTTTTCTATAGCTTTAATATATAATGCACTGAATTCCGCATATCAGTTTTGGGCTGGAAATTTCTTGATTCTGTGGTTACTAACTTATTCAGTATCATTCTGTTTTTATTTTTAATGTAAACATAACAAATGTAGATTCTTCCCCTGCATTTCATACTTTATATTCGATTGATGTTGAATGGTAATGAGTGGCTCTCAGAGACTTTCTTACTAAATTCAAGGTATCATCCACATAATGGTAATGACAACGGGACTATTTGGAGTGGCATGCTGTTTAATAATAAGTACACTCCTGTCTTAGTCTGTTTGTGTTGCTATGAAAAATTCCATCAACTGGGTAGCTTGTAAACAACAGAAGTTGGTTTCTCACACTTCTGGAGACTGGGAAGTTCAAGATCAAGGAGCCAGCAGATTTGGTGTCTGGCAAGGGACCCCTTCCTCAGAGATTGCTGTGTACTCACTCTAACCTCACACGGCAAAAGGGGCCTGGGGTCTCTCCCGGGCCTTTTTCATAAGAGCACTGGTCTCATGAATGGGGATAGCTTCCCAAAAGCCCCACCTCCTAGTACTATCAATTTGGGATAAAGATTTCAGCGTATGAGTTTTGGGAAACGTAAGAATCCAGTCCATTGCAACTCCTGACAGTCACACTCATGGCCAGCATCAAGTGATGGGGCATGCCTCTCCTTTGATTCCTAGCACTCTCTGTATTCATCTCTTAGAGGGTTTTGCTTCATATTGTGCTTATAATATTTTCTTCTCAACTCCTAGAGACTAACAGTGGCACATACATACATGAAGCAGTTCATTCTCAGAAGACTGAATTCCTTGAGAGCAGTGTCTAGCACTTATAAATGCTTGTTGAGTGAATGAACAGAAGCAAAAAAAAGTGACGTATGGCATACTTTTAGCTAGCTCTAGGAGGTACCATCAAGTACCGTTTACAGCATGGATTCTCATACCAAAACCACCTGGAACCAAATCTTGGCTTCATCATTTAGTAGCTGTGTGTCCTTAGGCAATTATATATTATATTTGTGCATCTCGATTTTGTCTTTTCAAATATGGGGATAATGACAGTACCTAGCTCATATAGTTGTTGTAAAGATTAAATGAGGTTATATATAGAAAGTGTTTAAAACAGTACATGTATATAGTAACTGCTGTATTAGTGGTTGCTACTATTGTTGCTATCTTTTTTATTTTTCTAAATAGCCCTGGCATGGAGTAGTGGATGCCCTTAGGAAATTCATTCTGGAATTTAGTTTTTCTCCTGTCAAAATATAGAAGCACTTTGTTCCCACTGTGGGTTCAGGAGCTCTAGGGTGTGGGAAGGTGTAGTGGAGGTCCTCAATAGATCTATCACAAAGCTGAGGGCGTTTGTGTCTTTATCAGTCATCAGGCTGCCCAGGCTCTGGTGAACTCATAAACAGTCTTTCCTTTTGGTAAGAATCATATCAACTTTGTATAGCAACTCAGGCTGGTTCTGGCTCATCTAAATTCAGAGGATAAACAGGGGTTGCCAGTTAGCTCACTTGAGAGAGTATGGTTCTGGTAATACCAAGGTCATGGGTTTGGATCCCAGTACCAGCCAGCCGCCAAAAATAAATAAATAAACAAACAGGATAAGCATTAATTATTAATAAACATTTTATTTGGTAGGTAAAATCTTTAACAACAGTGATGCATGTGAGAAATAATAAAAAATATTTGTATGATAAACAGTGGGGAAAATGGGATTGAAAGATTTTTGAAGTCTGCTCTAGCATGAACTACTTAAGGTTTTTTTTCTTTGCATTTTATAAAGTAGTCTATTTAATATTTAATATGATCGATTGTATCTAGCCGTTGGCCTCAGAATTACTGATTCTTTTCTCAACATTTTATTATGAAAAATTTCTAATAAACAGCACAGTTAAAGGAATTTACAGTGAACACACATATATTCAACATGTAGATTCTAACATTAACGTTTTTGCAATACTTGCTTGATCACAAAGCTGTACATATATCTGTACCTCTATCCATTTCCTAATACATTTTTTATTTTTATATGTTTCTTTGATTTTTTTTTTTTTAAAGATGACCGGTAACCCTTGACTTGGTGTTGTCAGCACCACGCTCAGCCAGTGAGCGAACCGGCCATCCCTATATAGGGACCCGAACCCGTGGCCTTGGTGTTATCAGCACCACACTCTCCTGAGTGAGCCATGGGCTGGCCCTAGGTTTGTTTTATTATTTGGTCATCTGCATGGGCAAAGTCATGATATTTTATTCTCAACTCCCAGAAACTAACAGTGGCATATACATACATGAAGTAATGCCTTTAAAGAGTTATGGAGTAAGAATTCTCTTACTGGAGATTCTTTAAGAGTCAAGGTGGGGTAAAGGGAATAAATGTGTAGATGGGAGAATAAGTCCTTGGGAAGATAATTCAATATGTAGTAGTAGATAACTCATCAAAATATTCTTTATGATATGTTAGGTTTTTTTAGTTTCACTTTGCAAGCTATGCAGGCTCAGCTCTTAGTATTTCTGGTAAATGTCAACAATTATGGAACAGAAAAGGAACCAAGTTAAATAAAAAGTTTGAAAGAAAATTCTTGCAGGTTGAAGGTTCACGGCACACACACAAATGCCTAAGATATCAGTTTGTGTCCCTTTACTTTCTCTAGGCAAGTTATAGAATCTAACTGCGTAGCTTTCCTTCCCTCCACAGTGCTAGTTCTCTTGGAGTTCTGCCAGCAACTCCAAAGAACATGAATAGGTCACAGGGCAAAATCTTGATTTTGATTCAAAAAGAAGGCGTAGTTACTTTGTTCTTCATGAACTAAAGAAACACTTACCAGAAAGCCATACTTCTTTTGGAGGGCAGTGTTTGGTGGGTGCTATTTTTGACAATGCATGTTTACTAGAAATGCAGAGCTGCAAAGTTGCTGATGAACATTTATCCCTTTTACTTTCAGTTCACTTCTTTAACTGAGATGGACATGATATAATCTCCACTGAGTCAAAGAATGGCATCTGGTTCTGCACTTCCCACGGAAGATGAGCAGGTTTCCTCGGGCATTGACGATCTCCATTTTTCACTGCAAGGTAAGTAAGATTGGGTGGGGTGACATCCATCAAAACTGTGGAAGATTTACCCTCATCTATTCACAAATCATATTGGTTTTTATCTCTCTTATGGTGATTCTTTAAATATATCTGTATTTTTCCAACTTTAGAAATCTTTCAACATATTTAAATGTCTTTACTGCTGTCTTATCTCTTAGGAAAGTAAGGAATATCTGGAAGGAATTTGGTATCTCTGATCTCCTACCCTGAGTGTATGTATTTTATTTGCAGTGAAAATTAAATAGTTAACCATAGTTGGTTTGGTGTTGTTTGTACTTACTTTGCATCTTTTTGCATAGACTCTTTTAAATGCCCATTCCTATTTTGTCCTAATGGAAAGAAATAGTAGTGATATATGGGGGGTTTTTGTTTTTGTTTTTTTAGTGCTTCTTGTGGCAATATTCTTTGGCAATATTTGCGTTGTAATTTGAAAATTCGTTAGACACTAGACTTTCCACCTTTGTTGATAAAGCAAATCTTGGAGTTGAATAAAGTTAGTATAGAAGAAATGAGGTGATGGCAAGTCTTTGAAAATATTTATGAAACTATGTATTTTAAAGTAATTTTAGTATTATTGACAGTATTATGCAACACTTTTAGGATGTTACTTAAAGTCATAGATTTTGAGTCACTTATGATAGAGATTCCAAAATGACTTTCTTTCTGATATTTTCTTTTTAATTAAAATAACTTTGGGGCCGAGATGGAAATCAGTAGCTATTAGAATAGACTATCTATGTATATTTAAAAATAATTTAATTTGTATAGAGTAACAAACATAAAAAAGAAACATTTAAATTGTTAAGAGGGATGGGCCGGCCCGTGGCTCACTCGGGAGAGTGTGGTGCTGATAACACCAAGGCCACGGGTTCGGATCCCATATAGGGATGGCCGGTTGCTCACTGGGTGAGCATGGTGCTGACAACACGAAGTCAAGGGTTGAGATCCCCTTACCAGTCATCTTTAAAAAAAAAAATATTTAAAAAAAAAATTGTTAAGAGGGAATACTTGAGGTAAGATTTTTTTTTTTTTTTAAAAGATGACCGGTAAGGGGATCTTAACCCTTGACTTGGTGTTGTCAGCACCACGCTCAGCCAGTGAGCGAACCGGCCATCCCTATATGGGATCCGAACCCGGGGCCTTGGTGTTATCAGCACCGCACTCTACCGAGTGAGCCACGGGCCGGCCCTTTGAGGTAAGATTTAAAAAATTTTTAGCAAGTACATTTTTTGTAGTGTCAAAATATTCATAAGTACGTGAAATCGAATTTTTCACTTAACTGAAAACAATCAATGCTCTTGTTTTTCTGTATTTTGTTGCAATAAATAGATAAATCTAATTTCTAATTCTGGCTATGCCACTTAATAGTTATTTCACCTTGAATGAGAAATTTGATCTTTTATGAGTCTCAATTTCTTCATTTATAAAATATGGATGATGATGCCCACTTTGCAGCTGTGTTGCAGATAAACAATCATGCATGGAAAGGTGATGCAGAGCAGGGACTCAGTCAGTGTATTGTAATGTCTTTTTATATAGCATTTACAGTCCAGATCTTCATCTCAAGGGATTTCATGTCCAGGAGCACACAGCTAGAGTGGAAACCTCAGGGTATTTAAGAAAATATTGTAAACTGGAAGTCTTGCTTTTACTGTTTGTTTTTTGTTGTGACATTTTTCTTCAATGGCTTATACCACACGCAGGATTAAGTCTAGGCTTCTTGGCATGGTTCACAGGCTCTTCCTGGTACTCACCTTTCTCTCTGCCCTCATCTCCCACTGTGGTCCCACAAGCACCCTGCGCTCTATTCCCACCATTCTCTAAGGTGCCACCCTTCCCCTGCCTACATGCTTTTGTGTAGGTTGTTCTCCCTGCAGCATCCCTGGTCCCTCCTCCAAGACTGGAAGAAGTCCAGCTCATCCATCCCAATGTCAGCCAGACTCAGCCTCCTCCGTGAGCTTTACCCTCTCTTAAATGGAGATATGTGCTCCCTCTTCTGTTCTCCCATTGTATCTAATTTAGCAGGTATAGTGCTGTGATTATTATACTTAATAATGTTTTCTTTCCCGCTATTTGACACTTATGCAGCACTCTCTAGCTTACTAACACTTCTGCATACATTATCTCATTTGATCCTCACAACCACATTGTGAGGTAGATCTTTCTGTCTTCGATGAACAGACAAAGAAGCCATGGCTCAGAAAGACACAGCTAGTGAACAGCAGAGCTGGGTTTTGACTTGGAGGCTAGCTTGCTTTCCACTGCACCGCACCCCCTCTGACACACCTCAGAGAACAATATGAAAGAGGGAATTTCTTTAACAATTTTCTTTGGAAAATCTCGTGAATCTTAGCCTCATCCTACTCAGTCCATAGTGAACTTTTGCTCAGTCCAGGATTTGGATGGGCATCTTTGAATAACATTAGTGATCTCAGGTTCACATGTAGCTCAAAATAATTAGCAAATTACTGAGAAATGAGTTGTTTCTTAGAGCATGTTTTGAATTATAGTAGGGTATACAGTCTGCTTTACAATAGGAGACTAATGTGGACTGTGTAGCAATGGAAATGTGATATACATGCACTATCCAGTCTGAATGATTTAGTTTCATGATGTATTTATAAAATTATGGTAGTGGATGCATTGCTCTACAGGGGAGATGTAGAAAGCAGTGCTGTAATGTCATCAGCTTGACACTGGGAAAGGTCCGTTCATAGTAGCCAGGTACACTAAAGAGATATCAGTGATACCAAGAAGTTCCCATGTCTACAGAATGAAAGCTTAACTGCAAAATGAATAGATTTCCCCAAGTTAAGTTCTATCTTGTTATTAGCAGATATATAATTGTTCTTTTAGCTGAAGTTATTGAAAGAAAGAAGGAAGGAAGGACAGAAAGAAGGAATTTAGATATATTTCTAAAAGTATCTTTGGTTTCATGGTGGGATTATTAGCTACTTGGGCAAAAAAGAAAATTGATATACAATATTATGTCCTTTAAGTATTACGTAACCAAAGTTGTTGACAGTAATGCTAAAGCATTTGGCTTAGTATATACCATGTAAGCAGACTTGTATTTCACAAAATTCATATGTGCTTAATGATTCTTGGAGTAATATGAAAGAAGAGATTTTTATGTAATATGAGAGGCTCAGGATCACTGCTCATAAGAAAGTTTTCTTTCCTCTTTGTTACAGAACCTTTTTTTAGAGGCAGATAAAGACAGTAGAATGACCTAATTAACTTATAAGTCCTACTTTATTTTAGTAAAAATATCATCGAAGGTGAAACAATTGTGGCCACACCTTGACACAGAATAATACACCAAGAGATTAAGATGTCTGGATTGAAATGTGTTGATTCATCATTGATATGATAAGAAAACAGAAGTCCCATATGTGCAGGGCCTAAAGGAATCAGGCCTGAGAATTAGGCAGTGCTTTGCTGAAATTCATAGAGCAGGACAATAAGCAAGTGACTTCTTTTTGTTCATCTTCTGTGTGATCTATGAGAAAATACTTTATGAAGGGATTTTGAGGGCACTTTTTGTATGGAGATATTTATGTTGTCTTCATCCAGTGAGGAGAATAGCATTGGAATGGTTGGATGATTAGAAAGAGAAAAGAATGACATTTATGAACTTTAGTGAATTCATGTAAAAATGGAATTTATTTTAGTTTAGTGCATTTTGTATTACTCTGAATGGTTCACATTTTAAATAAATTTGAGATGTGGAAATTCAGGCTATTAAAATGAAAAATATATGGCTGTCTTTAAAAATTATTTGTTTACAGGGGCTGGCCATTTAGCTCAGTTGATTAGAACACCACCTTGTAACACCAAGGTCAAGTGTTCAGATCTTCCTACTGACCAGCCATACACACAGCGCGTGCACACACACACATACACACACACATATGAATTATTTGTTTTCCAAGGTGTCCAGTATGGAAATCTTTTAAATCTTTCCATTTGGATTTTTTACTTGGCAAAGTAATAAGTGCTTCCTTCCCTTTTATCCTAAGAAAACTGTAACTGCCTGTTTTGTCTGAAACATCTCTGCTAAGCCTTTCAGGTGGGAAAGGAATGTCCAGAACAAGTTTTTGAAGTATCAGATAAATGTGATTATTAAAGCAGTAAGGGATAAAGTTGGGTGAGTATCACAGAATTTTAAAGTTGGATTTTCTTTGCCATTCAGTGTAATTTGAGAACCAAGTTGTAATCCCTTCAGAAGTATTTCTGAGATTAAATTTCTTCAGGGAGTTGAATTCAAACCCAAGGAGTGTGGACTTTTTGCTTTTAGGTAGTACGCAGCTATTGTGTGTTGAGAATGAAAGTTATGTGGTCACAGGTGAGAGTTGTACTTTAGGGGCTTTGAGGTACAGGAAGGCTGGAAAGGGCTAAGAAGTAGAGCTGGAGAGACCAGTTAGAAAGCATTTTGGGTAATGTTTGCCTGGACTAGGGTTACAGCAGTGAGTATGGAAGTACAGCACAGGTATGAAAATCATTAAGGTGGGAGACTCAAATAGGAATTTGTAACTACTGAATATGGATAAAGTAGAGAGACTGCATGGTTTTGAAGTTGAGTTGCTTGGGATAATAGCATTAGCACATATAATGGCCAAATTACTAAGTTTATTTAGTGTGTTTTTACTAAGTATGTTAACAGCACAAAATAAGAAGGCCATTAAGTATTATTTATACTGATGTGTTTAAAATATATTGTTGTAGATAAAAGACACGTTACAAAGAGTATCTTGAGAACTTCTTATACTGTGCAAAGAATAAAAGCATGACACAGGTAGAGGACCTATTTGAAAGTCATGATAATGAGTGAAATTGACCAGCCTGACTCATCTTGAGAAATTTTAAATAACTGCAGGCAATTTTGAAATAACTTGGATACTTCCCCAGTATATTTCAGAATTAAGTTCTTTCTTTTTTTAATAAGTAAATATAATAATTTGTTCGTTGTAAAAGGA